AGTGTTACATAAGCTTTAAAATAGACCAAAATTATTTCAAAATTGTTTATAAAGTGAAGCGTATAATATAAAGGCTATGGGAATTCCATCATTTGAAGAATCTTTAGCAATCTAGTCATGCTGGCTATTCCTTTCGTGTCTGTACCTCAAAAGGTAGTGATTTTGAAACCTGAATCCTGTGGTTTGAGCCCATCTCAAAACAAGGTGTTATGTAGAGATACAAATATAGGTGTTTGCCTCTGGATAGCTGCTGAAGTGTAAGGGTGTAGTGTATAGTCACAGTATCAGTTGTCTTTCTCCATATGCAATTTTTGAAGTTACTACCTCTTTTTTTTTTTCTTTCCATGTAGTATTTGCCTAGAGCAGTATCTTCCCTTCTGCATACTTATTTTGAATTGCTCATGATTATTAGTGCTGGGTAATTTTGTTTGCTGAGGAAATGCCCTTGCAATGACCTACAGAGTTTGCAAATAATTATAAGCTAAACTTTTGTGCTACCATTTATGATTCTGATTTTGTATTTTGCTCATGATAGCCCAGTACAAAGTCCTGTTCTAGTGATGCATTAACGGTGTCCTCATCTAAAAGCAATGTTAATTTATTTCCTTATTTTATTTGTAACATCCTTTTTGGATGGAATTCAAGATAAATATAGACTAATGCCTGAAATCTGTTCTTTTTATTCATCCTTTACAAATCCAGAGCTGGAAGGCCTCCCTACGGCGTTTACCTACAGCCTTCATGCCAGCCCAGAGAGTAACCATTTGCCTAACAGCTAAATGTTTTGTAGAGTCAGTCAGGAACCAGAAGACGCATATTCTTTTGAGGAGCTGTATGTAGGGGTTAAAACTCTTATACAGCTGTGCTGCAGTGTCCAAAGGGGTATAGAGTGACCCAAACAACAGTCCTGTTTTACACCAGTATTTATCCAGCATATTTACGTCGTGTTGCTGCATCAATGCAAAACTCCCAGAAGCAGATGATCCTTCGGTTGCTTTGCATCACTGACAAATTGTCTATGGTGGTATATACTACCTGCAGTGGTGAAAGGTTATCAAAAAAGGTGGCATGCCACAACAGGGGACTGGACACAGGGCCTGTTTTGCTTCGGAGGTGGTAACTTTCAGAGAAGAATAGTGCAGGGTGGACAGGTGGGGGCAGTAATATCTTAAACTACTGCAGCCAAATCTGTGAGAACCTGTTTGTTTAAAACCTTTGCATGAACTCACTGAACTTGAATTTGAAAGAGAAAAACATCAACAGCCTGTCATGATGATAGAGATTGCATAGTAATTGGAAACAAAAGACTTCTGGATTAACACTGCAGAATTGGGGCAGCTTCAATAGAACTGCTCTGAATTTATTCTAATATAACCGAAGGCATGGTTTTGCCTTCAGCTTTGTGTTTTAGCTGATAAAGAGTATCAACTTGCAGTCTGGTAAAGTACGAATTGTAGTAACCTCTTAAATTTGTGGCATTTCAGAAAGGGATGGAATATGGTACGCAATAAAAGAAAACCACACAAAAGATCTTGCTGTGTATCTTAAAAGATAAAACCACCGCCTTTAGGACTCTAGTTGTATCTTTAAAGAGTAAAAAAGTCATGTGTTTAAAAATACTCTCAAACAAACAAACAACAAACCCTGAAACTGAGATGTGAAAATGAGACATGATTTAACTTAATTATAAGCCTTGAACAAGGAAACAGCATGTTCTCAGAATACTTAATTACAGCATTGTTTTTAGGGGTTTTGTGTGTGTATGTTGCTCCAGTCAGTCTTCAGAAGAAAAATAAAAGGCAAAGAAAACACGGAAGTACAGTAAACATCTTGAAATGCAGTTTCCTCCTTACTGGGAAGCTACCACATGACTTGCTGAAAAGCTTGGGGGGGGGGGGAGGGGGGTGGAAGGCAGCTTGCAGTTGTTCTTCAGTAGCGTTAAAACTCAAATTTTCTGTAAATCTGCTTCTTGAAAAATAATATCCTAAAGGTCTGTAAAGCATCAACACAGTACTTAAATGCTTTTAGTGTTTATGGCTGAATTTAGTATTTAAGAAAAATACACTGAATTGTGTGATAGTCTTGAAAGCTGATTTGCATTACTCATTGACAGATGATGGCAGAAAAAAAATATGAGTTTATACTATTAATGTATCTGGTTTTGCAGTCTAAACTTTTACCGGTGAGAAGATAGATATTAATTTAGACTAAATTCTGTAAAGAGTGATGCTAATTTGGGTAACTCAGTCTTCTAAGATTACAGTGCATGTTTGTTTGTTTTTTGCCAGTCTCACTGGAAGATTGTTGGGAATTGAATTGAAATGGGACTTGGATTTCATTTGGCCAATATACTTGAACACAGGTTACTCAATCTATAACTGTTCTTAAAAGTACACAGTTACTATGTTTTAATGGTTGAATTTCTGCACAGAAAGAGATTCAGCTACCATTTCTCTTCCTGGACCAGTATTTCTTAGAAATGTACCCCACTGTGGTCTGAAAAATCACCTGTGGTTATATACACGGCATACTTTTTGTGGTTATACCATTGTATACTTTTTTAAAATTAATGTATTGAAGGGTTGGCGTTTCCTCTTAAATTAAAACGAAGGGTTGTCAACCCAAAGAATTGGGACCAAAAATGTAAAATGATGATGTTCAATAATGTTTTAACAGCATGTCTAGTGTAGATTCCTATGGTGTGCTAAATTGGTTGTGTGAAATCCAGAGGCTATTAAAAAAAAAAATCTATTTTTGTCTGCAGTTCACTGTTACACTCTAATCTGCATACTAGGAGCAGCAGCACAGTTTCATGTGTCAGTCATGCTTTATTCTTACATGATTTGGTGTATGAAATGTATATGTTGTTCAAGTAATTAACTCTCTAGCATCCAGAGTTGCTTTACACATTCCTTGCTCTGAATTTTACAGGCAATAAGGAAACATAAGGACAGAAACGGAAAAAGAGAAAATAGAGGTAACATTCCGCAATTAGTTGCAGTTTCTTTGAATGCTTTTGGTTGCATTTCTATGCAGAATCATGTGCATGCACCCACATGCACTTTTAGCTCTGTTGCTTTCTTTGTTTGCATATTGGCCCTTTGCATACACTTCCAAACTCTTGTGTAATACATTATATAGTAACAGGAAGATAAAAATGACACTAATGTTAGCGTTTACTTCTGTTACTGGAAGTTACTCCTTTTTCTGTTTTTAAGCATATTTTACCTTCAAGTATATGCTGAGGCAGCCCCGAGACAGCAAATTACCAGCCTGACAAGGATTCTAACCTGGATGATAAATGGAGTAAAAATTATGCAAGTCAAAATGTGTGGCCTTGTTGAGCTTATTCATATCAAAGTATATTTTGGAACATTTATTTGAATCAACTAAATTTTTTTAAAAGAGCAAAATCCAAAATGCTACAAACCCTAATCGAAGATCTTGGAGTCGTTGCAGAAATGAGCATTTTCCATTTCATGTCGAGCTGTGTGAGGGAACGCATCCACAGTTGAGCAGACGTACACGGAAACGAGTCTTGAAAGTCCCTTAGACTCTTGCATTTTGTGTAGTCACAACACAATCTCCAGCTGGTATGGAGGCTACAGTCGCTGCAATTGTAAGAAGTCTTTAGCGCCTGAGCACTTTTCTATATTGTGAAATGTTTTGGGGGACTGCAAAACTGTTTTGCACTTGCACTACAGCTTCAGCTGCAGGCAGAGCTAGAGGGACTGCAAACTAAATGGTGTAAACATCTCCAATTCCTGGAGCTGATCTAGGCCCCTCTGCACCAGAGTTTAATGCCAGCTAAGCAGAATTGGTCCCTAAAAACGTAGCTCTGGCCATTGCCTGTCCCTCCCTCTACTCCATTTCCGAACTTGCCCCCTTCATTCCTGTTTTTGAGCTGTGCAGCATGAGACTTAAGCTAATAAGGGCACCCAAGATGCCTACAGCATGGTTTGCAAAGGATCTTCAGCTTGTTTCTTTAATCGGCTCCTTTGCCGATTATTCAGCTTTTATTAACAAACTCCAGGGCGCCATTGCTAATACTTGTCCAGTATTAGCGTTGTCCAGAAACGTGAGCACGTTGTTAATGAGAGATGTTTGTGATGTTCCTCCTCGTTTTAAATTTATGGGTCAAACAGGCGGAAGTCGGAGGCTCTGTGAAATCTCACGGCGTGTGTGTGTGGGAGGGGGACCAATACGGAAAGCGGCTCTGATGTCACACAGCTGCTCTTGATTTGTTTCAATCCTCACAATTCCGTTGTCCCTGAATTCCACGCTGTTCGCCTCTCAGGCGAGAAGAAGCCCCTTTCCTTCCCCTCTTAACGCTCGTGCTTTGCTGCCTCCTGTCCTCGGGTTGCGCCGACTTTCTTGAATAGTCTCGGGG